ATCATCAAAAATCTTATAATATAAATACTTCGTAGCATCATAAAATTTTCATGAAAAGCAAGTACAATGTAGGCACAGTTGCTTGTTTACCAAATGGACGAGTTAACAGATTCCCCTATAAAAAATTCTTACCTCTTAAACACAAAGAAAGTGGGAGGGAGAGAGTGGAGATTATGCAGCAAACTTAACGAGGGTCTTAATTGTTTTCTTCTATCAACTTGGAATATTATAACATGTCTTTGATCAAATTTAAGCTGTCTTCCATTATCTTTTCATATATATGTACCGACTTAAGTTTTATTGCAAATGCATCCGACTCAGAGCTGATTGATAAAAACTTTTATAACCCTAATTCTTGACCAACCATGTGTTTAGCTTAATCACTTAATTGATAAGGGGTACCATTACTTTTTTACTTCAATAAACCTAAGGAAACTACTCACTATAAAATAAAATCTTCATAGCAATAAGCTGTAGGTCAATTAGTTAACAGCATTCTATCTTACGTCCAAAATATTAAAGTCTCAAGTTCAGGGCGCCCAAAGCCCTAAGGTCTCGAGTTTGAATCCCCTCTCCCTAAAAAATCTCCATAATATCAGACCAAACCAAACTAAATTTGGGACTTGGATTGTCTGCCCTCCTAGTTGTGGTGCCCTTCCATACCCTCATATTTTGTGCGGTCACGGTTAAGCCACGTTAATATTTTATATTAATTTTTTAATGAGATAATAAGACAAAAAATAATTAAAATATAAAATATTGACGTGGCTTAACCGTGACCGCACAAAATAGGAGGGCATGGAAGGGCACCACAACTAGGAGGGCAGACAATCCTTGTCCCTAAATTTGAGATGTTGTAAGAGAAAATTGAATCATAAAATGCCCTCACATCCTTTCGGTGTCGCACTACATCACCATCACTTTTATGAAAAAATAGCTATGGGAACTGGAACTCTTCCTTTTATGTCATTCTTTGGTCACAACAATCACGTTAAACAAATTTGCGTTCAATGTTCAGAAGTCTTTAAACGTGTGCTTATTGGCATAAAAGTAAACTCAGCAAGCAGACACGTGCACACAGAGGACTACATTTTCTCATTATCTTTGGAAGCATTAAAGTAAACCCAGAAAGAAGAGAGAGAACAATTGGGAGTCGATTCTTTCATTCAGATGATAAAAGCCAGCTTATGATACACCAGAAAGGGATTTCTTCAGCTCGGACAAAATATCCCCGAGCAATATATGCACCCTCAAACAAAAACAAAAAACAAAAAACTCGACTACGACTACAACGACAAAAGAAGGTAAAATCAAGTTTGCCAATATATGCATTCTCCAAAGAATCATTCATCTTCAGGCAGTCAAGCGCATTGTGCGATATCTCAAGGGCATGGTTGATTCAGGACTTTGGTTCACTAAAGGCCCTCAATGTCTCATTGCTTGGTCCGATGCAGATTGGACAGGTTGCCCTGTGGATAGAAGATCCACCAGTGGCTATTGTGTGTTCTTAGGTCCTAATCTAATCTCTTGGAGTGCTAAGAAACAAGCCACAGTTGCTAGATCATCAATAGAGGCTGAGTATAGGTCTCTTGCAAATACTGCTGGTGAGATAACCTGGGTGTGCAAGATTCTGCAAGATATATCCTTCCCTTTGCTCAAGACACCGATCATCTACTGTGACAACAAAAGTGCCATTGCTCTTGCATTCAATCCTGTTTTCCATGCTCAAACCAAGCATGTTGAAATAGACTATCACTACATCCGTGAGAAAGTTTTACTTGGTCATATTGGTGTCCAACATGTTGCTTCACTTCTTCAAATTGCGGATATTTTCACCAAGTCTTTAGCTGCTGATCGATTTGCTGCTTTTACTTCCAAGCTATCAGTTAGATCACCTTCCTTTAGCTTGAGGGGGTGTGTTAAGAGTACATCCTCACATAGCAGCAATGTATCAAAACCACCACCAGATTAGATTCTTACTTAGCTGATAAGTTTGTGATGTGTTGTGATTAGTTAGTTGTATTGTGCTACGCTGGCACATATATTTGGGATAGGATATTTATGTATAAATACCTTATGTATGGTTCTTTTAGATGAATGAATAACCACAGTTATATTTCTCTCTCTCTCTCTCTCTCTCTCTCTCTACAATTCTCTCCTTTTCCTCTCTGGATTCTGAGTTTCAACACAGGGTAGCTCAAGTGCAGGAACGAAGCCTCCGAAGTTGGATTCAAAGATAACCGTACGTGATTCTAGCTAACAAAAAATTGAATGCTGCGCAATCAAATTTTCCTTGTGACGATTCAGAGAAGAATCAGGAGAGTTAGATTGCGTGCCAAAGACTAAGAACATGAGCAATGGTGTGGGATCAAACTTAAAAAAATAAGCCAGAAAATTTTAAGTCATAACCTAGAAATAGTTTTTTCGTCCAATGGTTATGACTTAAAATTTTGTCCGAGATTATTAAAAAATGATTTTGTCTAAATTTTTTCAAAGTAAAATTTATGTGGATTCATTTTTATGACCATTTTAATCTAAAAATATTTAAAGTCCAATAAATAATGAAAAATTACACAATCTACCCCATTCTTACAACAATTACTGATACTAATATTCGTAGGGATTTGATTGACTTGGTGGTGGACTTGGGAAATAGACATTAGGTTGATCATTATCTGGATCATTAGATGGATTGAAGACATTCCTTGCTGCATGCCATCTTATGATTTGCGCTTGTTGATCACGGAAGAACTTCTTCCTCCTTGGATTATATTTGTTGAAGTTCTACCTCATTACCTCAAAATCAAACATTTCTTGTTGTAAAAGGTCTCTTGCATTTTCTTTTCCATTTGCTTCTCCATGAGTAAGCACATTCAAACCATTTCTTCTTTGGTCTCCTCATGCCCTTCAATTATTTTTTCAACTCCAGACTAGTCAGATCTTGCATATTCTCTTTTTTCTTTGCTTACTTTGCTTGTTGTCTCGACGGCCTTGGTATAGATGAAGATGGGGTCACCAATTCGTCAACATCATCGCCAACATTAACGCTTGAGTGAAGATTAGCAAATAATTTTGGCCATTTTTGGACCGTATTGATTTGCCATATTGGACAATCCTTGAGGATGTCCTAAGCATGAGACAATATAAAACCAGAGTTTTTGGGCATAACCCTTGTGTTGTAAATCGACATTGCTTTCTTAATCCATACGAGGAATAAATAAAGATCAGTTAGTTGGAAAATAAGATTGTGTACATGACATATAACCTATGAAGGGAGACCATCACCACTTCTTCTAAACTCCTTCCATTAGCGATGCTAATTAACCACAACTTTATCCAAACTTCCCTTCCACAAGTTGCATGCTTTGTTGTTAGTCTTCCACCAATCGTATATACACCTTCAGAGGTTTGGTTGGTGGTGGAGATGAAATTAAATTCATTAAGGATTTTACCTCACAAGAGCTTTTTATTTTGGTTTGTGAAAACAACACCATCTTAGCTAATAAAAATCCTTGCCAAGTATAAAGCAACATCTTCATCATTTGACCAATTAGGTCCTTTAACATGATCATTTCATTTGGCATCTTGAAAATTTTGAAAATGGAAAGAAATAGTTTTGGAAGTAGGTAGAAAGAAAAATGGAGGAAATGTATGAGGAAAATGAATTGTTTGTGAATGTTTGAACAAATACATTGATATTATAGAGTTTTTGGGTAAATTTTGATTTCAATAATTTTTTTAATTGTTTTGACCATTGAATTTAATTTTGAGCCGTTAGATTCTTTTTTTTATTCATTAAATTTGCTCATGTTCAATTTCAACCTTTAAATTTAGTGTTTTATAAATTTGATTTAAAATTTTTTGAATCTGGAACTTAGGACGTATCGTCTTCACATAATTTCCGAACTCCACACTTTCCGCCTGGCTAGTTATAATTTACTCTTTGCAGTACCTTTTCATTAGCACGATGCCTAGTGCTTCCAAACTCTTGATCTTTTATTTCTTTCTACTTTTCAGTTGCACAATCTCTAATGCTTTGGTTAGAAGATGAAAATTATGAGATAAAAGCTCAGGGTAAAAGAGGTAGAGGAAGATTTAGGAAAATTTTAATAGAACCTCTATAAAAAACATTGAGTATTTGAATCTAACAGAAAACTTGTCACAAAACCAAATGCAATTGCGTTCTAGAATTTAATTATGCGGCTAACTCTACTTAATGGGATAAGGCCTTGATGTTATTTTATTTAACAATGACAATTTCTGAAAAATCAGTAATTAGATTGGCGTAATTGCTAGCATGGAAATATAAATCTTCTTAGCATGTAAATAAAACTTTAGAATTAATCGTGCTATCACACGTAATCTGGCATTAAAGGGTAATGTTAGAGAGAAAAAATTTGCAAACTAAATGATTTGTTATCAATAAGAATGAGCATGTTTATCAACGCTTAAATAATAACTCAATCATCAACTTCTATATCATTAGTTTACAAAATTAGTCTGCCTAACATTACTCGGAATTAAAACCTATACTCAATACTACTTGCATGTAATTCTTGATTATTATCCGACAATACACATGCATGGTCTCTTATCTTGCATTCCGCTTCATTCCCTCTTACTCTTGCATCTATTCTTTCTTTTGCCATTTTTTTCATGTCTCAAAATTTTTTGTACCATTTTTTTTCCTTCATATTTTGAGGGATGAAGTATGTCCTCCCGAGTAAATCTGCCTTTTTTCTTTCTTTCTAAGTACAATTCCCTTCATCCTGTAGATTTCTTTTAAAAATAATTTCATTTACATATGCAGTTGGATCTAGTAATTCCTGGTTTGCTTCATCTTCTTTTTCCTCCCTGTGTGCAAACTTCATCTTCAATATGAAGCCTCCCATATTAAAACGCGACACAACAGAATAATAGGCAAATCAACCTCAATGCAAAAAGCATTCGATGCCTACTTTATTGGATAAAAGCAAGACGTTCGATTACAGCTTACATAATTAAAAAAATACCCAAATTTCTTCCAAGTCTTAAAAACGCAAATTTGACCCGTAATTGTTATTAAAGCGTTGTGAAAGCCAATATTCCACACTGGAGCTGTAATTTTTAATCGTCTCGCTATTAGGTGCTCAAATCATACCCGAGAAAATGCCAAGTCTATTTTTCTTGAGCTTACACTTACACACACGCGTGCACACACACACATATATATGAAACTTTTACATAATCTGATCTGTTAATTGTTCTGCATCACATTTTGTCCTTATATTTCTTCCATAACCAACCTCTTTACGTTAACTATCTTGTTAGCCCTTCGGAGGCATTTGAGAAGCTTTTTATGACGAAATCTTCCTTCCACTATCACTACTTTGTTCACCTTATCAAGCTCAACCCTTTCAACTCCTGACATAGAAAAAAATTCAGAGGTAGGCGGTGCCGCAGTGATATAACTTTTAGCTAGTTTAAACTAGAATATTGAAGTCAGGTGTATGTACCTTTCGTCTTATTGCAGCCTTTCTTAACATCATCTGCACAATGTCCACAGTGCATGCTGAATTCTAGCTCAGCAAGCAGACATATAACCTAAAACAATTTAAAACAACAAAAGGTCGATTATGAAACTAGATACGCAAATTATATTCATATGTATCAAAAGCAGCACTATGCATGCTTTCGTGCATGGCAGCCATAGTGAAAACCTCTTCTCTTAGGGGAACCTGGTCAGCTTTCCCAAACCCTTTTCTCTTTGTCCACTTAAGGGCCTCCATGATTCTAAATTGTTGATCTTGTTGTAAAGTCGACGTTATGTGTGCAGTGGAACATAAAGTAAATGAGATATAATATTTACGAGGTTTGGCAAGTGTGACTACGTCCTCGGTGCAGCAATAGTACTTTCTTTGATTATTTGAAATAATAGAAGTACAAAATAACTCTCACTATTTTCCCTTTTCTCTCTAGCCTGACTCACTGGTAATTTCTTCCGCATCTCTCTTCTTTCCTCTTCTCTTCCTTTCCTCCATAACTCCTGTTTCTTTCCTTTGTATTTTTTTCTCTCATCCCTTCCATCTTTTTTTCTCTTCCATATATGTCTTTCTTTCATATGCTCCTTTGTTTTATAGGCAATGCAGGAACACCGAAAGCAAGCAATAGCAGCTCCTAGTGGAAGGACATGTTCTCGAGGACAACCTTATTTCCACTTGCTTGTTTAGTGGTCAACTATCTTGATTCCTTTGTTGAGTGGACATCTACTATTTACAACATTCCCCTTTGGATGGCCATATGTCAATATCAGCTACCTCGTTAAAATCTTGATCTTTTTTGGATGCTCCCCCTGATTTCGAATTCTTTATTCTGGCTGATTACTAAATTGATGTAATCTGATACCACGCATGACAATTGGAGTGTTAGCTTCTGAAGGTGGTTCACAGGCCCTTCAAATTTTAATGGACCGCAAGTATTAGCCAAATACATTCATGACTAGCTTCATGAAGATATGTATTTATGAGAGATATGAAGATGAGCAATGAATCCTTACTTTCTTGATCGTTGCAGAGGCAATCTATTTCCATATGTAAATACAAATCATTTCTGAGAGCTATTTGTATGTAGGCTAGAGAGGTATTCAAATTTTACTTGCTCAATAAGACCATGGCTATTAGTGAGTTCCTTGGAATAGAACAAGCATATGTTTATAATTTCCTGGAGATATCAATAAATAAACTTTATTTCATTGCAATATCCATTTATTGGTATTATGCTCCACAGGAAGTGTAACATCTGATTCAATGTATCATGCTAAATACAGTAAGGCACATACTTCACTAAGATATGGTACTCCTGGATCAAACATCAATTCATCATTTCCCTCATGAGGATGAATGATTTTTCTTAGTGTCTAAATATTAATTAACTCATGATCTTCAATCCATATGGTTCTTTAATACCATAAACATCATGGATAAGACTTGTGTTGGCATATTGTTTGATCTACAACTCGAGACAATATTCATTTCAACACTTTACAATCTTTCTAGGCTCTTTAGGAGTCTCATTCTAATATTATTATCTCTTGCAAAAGATTTAGTATGTTGCAACAACATCATAATGATAGTACTCACTAAGGCAATTTATACCATTCATTAGTATTGAGTACATAATTTATGCTTTTACCTTTCCAGGACTTTCTTCAAGCACTCTTAATCTTTCAGGGATTTTCTACACTTCATGACACATTGTCTTTTGGAATTTATACAGAGCAACTTGCTTCCATGTATACTTAAAGGATTTACTTGTGAAGATATGCTTCAGGCATTTCATAAGGCTTTGTGTAATATATAATTCTCCATTTAAATGAACAAGTTTCACAATAGAAAATCATGTTTACAAGAGTGTATTACAATTTCAGGTTTCAATTAACCACTTGTGTCATCATGTGAGTGTATTTCATTGTATTAAAAATGCTCGTATGTAACCTTCTGGGTTCAACATCATTTGGCGATTTGTACTATAGGTCCATTTTTCCACGTTCTTAATAACTTGTAATGGAATTACCTTTCTCCATTTTGGCCAATAATTTTGCTTTTTGTTGACGAACAAAAGAACGTGGCTCAATATCAACACAGCTCATTGATGAATTTAGTAGCTACTGTAAAACCAAAATTAACATTGGTAATCATCAATTCATGATCCCATAATTCTCATGTGCATGCGCATGCATATTTATAATCATTTCATTACTTTGGATATCCTTGCCTCTTCAAGGGCTTTACATTGTCTCTTTTAGGACAATTATCTCTCATTAGAAGAATTGTTTGAGAATTTGGATCATAACCTCTTCTAGAGCGTTATAGAGCTTGGATTGTTAATCTCTACTTCTGGGGAGTTGAATTATTGGAACCTACACATCGATCATACTTCAGGCATGTGATATATTAAATTTGTCGTGTCCATGGATTATCCCTTTTGAAACTTGAATCCATACGACGACTATCATGCTTCGGGTATGCAACAGTTTAGTAATGCTAAGTTTGTGAATAGTCTGACTGAGACTTCAATCCATTCAGCATCTCTGTAACTTGTAATCAAGTAGTAATTTTCAGTACCTTTTTGTACATCATGTGATGATATAAACTTGTAGAGTTTGATGGGCTATAAGTAGAATTCCCATCATTGAACTTTGGTCTTCCATTCACTCAATCAACCACCAATTTTCTCTATTTGAACTTCTATGGGCTCATCATTGATCTTTTTGCTTCAGTCTTTTGCATAATATAAGTGATGAGCAACCTTTGCCCTTTGATGGTCCATCACTTCTTAGTAACTTGTTCATGCTTGGTAGCTTCAGTGTAAAGAGCCAACAACGTACCAATTATTTCGCAGTGTTGGTGACTTGAGACCCAGCTCCAACAACAGTTGAAGATGACTACTTGGGAGCAATGCAAGGTAAGCAATCAGGAAAGGTTCCATGCAAAGGTTCCTGACCGAAAGTTTGATTTCAGGTTTCGATTGATTACTTTCTTTTTCTTTACCTTGCAGGAAGAGCAAGGGTAAAGGAAAAGACATGAAAAGAGCATGATATGAGATACCCTTGCTCACGACCATGTTGATATGAGATATTTTTGCTCTTAAAGAAAGACAGTAGAAGGATTTGATGCTGATGTAAAGCTTCTCGATCAAAAATATTTCTTGCTGAGAAAATGGATTTGACATTTTGAGGGACTTGGTTAAAAAGGTGTTCTCAAAGAGAAGGAATATTGAATATGTTGAGAAGTTTGGTTGCAGATGCATTCTCGGCAAGGAATGAGAGTTTGGTGTTTTGAAGGTGTGCTTTGCCATGGAGGACAAAAGTCGACATATATGGGGATTTCCAAATATCCGGTAGTGGTGCGGATATGGCCTTGTCACCCACGCTTGCTAGCAATAGTGGTATAGTTGGAATAATGAACTTTACATGTTTTAACTTTGCTAGAGATATTTTGATAAAGTTGTCCTTGATATTCAGAAAACTGAGATTGCGTCTGAGAAATGTTGATGAACTTTGTTCAGGAAAATCCGGCTTTTGGAATTTAGGGAGCAGTGTTTTAATTTTTGAACAAGTGGCTATGTTGCCTTCCCTTTTATAGAGACATCGATTATATCCAAAATGCAAGCTTTGAAGATTGCTCATTTGAAAATTGTTTTTGTTGTATTGATAAGATTTCACTTTATCCAACCCTTTTCTTTCATCATTTCTGAAATTGGCTTGCCCATCTAACCTTTGGTTAGATTTAAGTCTTGAGAGGGATACAGATGAGCCACATCAGGATAATATATGGCGTCCATCCTTCTTATCTTTTAATGGCCATCTTATAGTTGGAGAATCTGTGATGAGAGATGATATAACAGCTACAGTAGTAGCTAGGAACCTTTTCACTCCTAGAGATAAAAGAATACTTTCAGAAAGGTCTGATGAATCAGTTGTTCAAGACTCATTGGCTTTTAGTGTTCAATGTGCAGGTTCTGTATCCAACATAGGTCAACGTCTACTTGCTCGAACTCGCCAAGTCGAATCATTAATGGCTGAAGTGGCAAGTCTTAGACAAGAAATTAGAGGGCTCAAGCACGAGAATAAAGAGTTGCACAAACTTGCAAATATTTACTCGACGAGCATGAAAAGAAAGCTCGCCTAGCTGCTGGAATCTGAAAGTCGGATTCAAAATGATCACCTGAGATTCGTGGCTAGATTCCAGGGACAACTGGTGCCTTCCCCTTCTGATACTTTGCCAAGTGTTAGGACATTACATGAACAATCTCCAGTGCCATATCCTTCTGGGGTACTACCAAGTACTGAGGCTTCACTTGAGCAACCTTTGTGAAGCCCTCCCCACCCTATTTATTTGTTTTTATAATTGTAACTTGTTGATGCACAAAATCCGGAGGATCTTGGACCAACGTAAATTCGGCTATGAATCACACAAACGCACAAGAACACAAAGATGTATCATGGTTCACCCCAATGTTTGGGCTACGTCCATACTGATGTTGATTATGTATGTATGTATGGATTACAATAGATCAGCAAATGAGCTCTCTGTAGATGCAGCCCTTGCCATTTTGCTCTCTGTTTGACTAAGAGGGTATTGCCTTCTATTGTTGTGAGGGATGTATGTGAGACCCTGTGGATCTTAGTGAAGGGTCAGACTTCTCAATAAGGGTGAGGGAAAATCCCTTTTATAGAATAAGGGCTATCTTCCCTTTTACATTTGTCATGGGCTTAGGGATGAAGCCTAAAGACGAAGCCCAATAGATGGTACCAACATGAGTCACCCAAGTCTTCAGTCAAGAAAGTCTTTTGGCTGAATACTTTAAATCCAATCCATGTACGGGCCGAAGTAGTTAGATGTCTCGAACCAGTACTCAACACAAGGCAATGCTCAACATAAAGAAATACTCGACTAGAGGTATCACACATTACGAGATTGCTCGGCTGGAGGTGATGCTCGTTGCGAGGTTGCTCAACTAGAGGCTATGCTCGCGGTGAGACGGTTGCTAGGCTGGAGGCGATGCTCGTTGCGAAGCTGCTCGGCTAGAGGCTATGCTCGCTGCGAGGTGGCTCGACTCGTGGTATTCCTCATTGCAAGTATCTACTTTATGTCAATATGCACTCATTATGAGTTGATTCTCGACATGACTCGGGTCCGCTTGTCGGGTTTGCATATTGGGTTCTTTTAATAAGCAACAATGTTGATCAACAAAGTTCGTGCCATGAACCACCAAAGTTACGTCACCCTAACATTCAAATAATAAAAGGTGTAATTTGGTCAGACTTGCCACATGTTATGGAAAATAGTCATGTGATCAATCATTAATAATAATGTGAAACATATTATTATAACATGTCACCCCGTTCGTTTAGGCAACAATGCAATTTATATAACAGTAAATAATGATAGCAGTAATGATGTGTATGCGTTGTGACCTGGCATAATAAGTGATGTAATAGGTGTCCTCAAAGAATATGCATATTTTAAAGCATCCACTAACACAAAATAATAATAGACTATTAAATAATAAACTAGTTCATGAATGATTAAATAATAAACTATTAAAT